TTTTTTTTTTTTTTTGAGAAATGAATATATTTTGTCCAACAGAAAGCAAATTTAGCTTTGAAATGGAAAACTTAATCCAGACTGATTTTTCTAAAAATGCCAGCCTGTGGAAATCACGGATTTCATGGACGAGAACAGTAAAAGCCCTTGCTTAACAGTGATTACAATGCACCGTGAAAGAAAACAGTTTTAAATTTTAAATCATAAAAAGTGTATGTAAAATAATAATAAAAAAAATCACAGTAATGTAATCATTTCTAGTAGCCACAGCCTTCAAGAAACACTAGATTTGAAAGCGCTGCTTATCTCCCTGCAGAGATAAGGCATCTTATCATGGTCTATGTGCACATACATACAACCCACTACAACTTGCAGACGAGCATATGAGCAGAGGTGGGGACATGCGTGGGGCTTGTACACTGACACAAACTGATATAGAACATTAACACGGTAACCTCCATAAGGTGACAAAACCCACCTCCAGCAAAACAGCCTCACTGAGGGAAGTCTCACGGAGACATTTCCCTTCCCTCTAAGGTTCTCCCGCTAAATCCCTTTCCATGGTGGTGCCCAACATAATGAGGCGAGCGCCCAAGTGTAATTGCACGGAATTATCGTGGCCATTTGCATATGAAACCCACGCCTTTTGCTGCCTCTCGCCGGCATTGTTCGGCGGGGCTATAAATAGTGCAGCTGAAGCGGCGCAAACAGGGCGCAGTTTATGAGGGGCACATGCTGTGAATGAGGAGCCGCGCGCACAATGTGCAAGCTGGAAAGGGCTCCTCGGCACCGGCCAAAAGGGAAGGAATGCTGCACTTCCCAATCTCGCTCCGCTTGGAGAAGGCGATCGCACGGAGCCTCGGCCTCCCATCCAGAGAAGAGCTCCTTAAATACGAGCGTTCATGTTTTCCTGGGGGGAAAGGGGCAAGCTAATATATCCGTAACTGTTTCAGGATTTTTTCCCGATTACTTCTACATAGCATTTCCTTTTTGTGATTTGACAACGTTTAATAACTGCTAAAACGTGAACACTGCACTCGGTGCAAACCATTTGCTGCAATGTCACAGGGAAGTCCTGTGTTAGGACAGCGCATGCGATACCAGTAGAAATATTCATTTGCATGTAAAGAAAATAAACTGAAAAAAAAAAAGAGAAAAAAGCAAGTAAGCATAAAAAAAGAAACTTGAAAAGGGGAAGGACTGACCGTCGGCTGCGGGTATTTCATGAGGGATCTTCTACACACGGGGGAGCCCGAGCATTCCCGCGGCTGGCGGGCACCGGAGGGAACAGTGGGCAGAGCGGAGCGCGGCTGCGAGCGCCGGCTGCAACGGGCCCCGGGCATCGCTGCCTCTTGTCCCTGCTCTGTGTCCCTTCACCGAGTCCCTTCACCGCATCCCTTCACTATGTCCCTTCACTGCATCCCCGCATTATGTCCCTTTGCTGCTTCCCTTCACTGCATCCCTTCACTGTTGCTCTAAGGATGCTCTCCAGCCTGATGTGAAACCCTTAGCCTGGCCACTGTCTTCTCCCAGCTTTAGGAAAACAGGTTTACTCTGGCAAAGCACGTGAATGCTGATGACTTAATTAATGTATTTTAGGGCCTATTTCATTCAGAACTGGAAACATTCTTCCCTTCCAGCTGCTCTGACGGGGTGGGAAGCTTGGCTCTTTATTCTCCGCTAGACACTGTGCAGTCAGGACACCCTGGAGACTCCAGAGCAGGAACGCAGGTGGATGCCTCTTTCGGGGAGGTGACTCGGGAGCCGCGGTGTGAGCAGCTCCCGCCCTCGCCTTCTGCATCCGAGCGAGCACGGACACTCTGCGCGGAGGGAAGGAGAAGGTGCGAAGCCTCCTCCCCGAGCCCCTTCCATCCACACACATCCTCACAGGTTTTGTCCATTACAAAAACCACAAAACAAAACAGAAGCCCATGAAGATGGTTATCTCCTCTTTTCTGGAATCCAAACACATGAATGATCCTTTATTTCTCTGTTAGGCAGTATCTAGGCTAACAGATACAATAACTTTCATCTGCCACACATTAAACTTCTTTATTCAACTGCTAACTTTATTAATAATTTAATTGCTTGATTTGGAGCAGACTTTGCAACGTCAACACTCAGAGCAACAACTTCAGGAGCCAAAACAGGGAGCCTAGGAGCCAAAACAGGGAGCCCAGGAAAGGGAGATGGTTGCTCCAGAAGCCAACTCCGAGCACCTGGGACAGGCTCCTGCTCTCCCTCCTCCTTGAGTAAGAACCCAATCCTTCAATTCAGCTGCACAACCCGCTCCATTCGGATGAATAAAGCTGCTCCTTCCCCAGCTACTCCTCAGGTTTTACAGAGGTGGGTGGAGAGAAGGACTCAAGGAGATAAAAAATAAAACAGGAAAGTCTTCCAATGTCTCAGAAAGGCATGGTGAGTATACTAACACCCAACAGGGATTAGTTCACTCAGCGTGTGACAAAGAAGTGTACTACTTTGTTTTTATTTTTTTTTTAATGTAGAAAGCAAGATATGAAATTTACTTCTCAGGGATTTCTGGCCAATTTCTTAAGTGTTAAGTTACTCCACACTATCACTACAGGACAATTCCCTTTGGGTTTCTTCTTGATCCAGGTTAAATAATACTATAAAGAGAGATCAAAACTTTCTGCTGATAAAAACAAAGAATTACCATTATTTATTTTTGTTAATTTGCCTTTATTAGTAAAAAGTACAAATAGAAAAATTGTACTTTGATGAAAAAACAAACGGGGGCCCACAGCTTCGCAGTGTTTGCTATTCCTTGCACGTAGCAGAGGTGAGGAGGCTCACAAGATCTGGAGCAGACGCAGGCTCTTGCAGTCCTAACCCGTGAGGAAGCACTTACATGTAGACGCAAGACAAGGGGAAGGCTCCTAGCAAATGCAACGTGTAAAAATGCAATGCAAAAGCAATCCATGTGAAACAAGACATGAGCTGCGTGGACACTCTTACATTCAAGTAGCCTAGTGGCTCCATCGGCCCCACTTCCAGTGTTTTCACCTGGGACATCTCCCGAAGTTCTGCCAGCGCTCCTGCAGCTGGGCTGTGCGTGCTTCCCGGTGTGGTTCTTGGGAGGAGGGAATACGCCAGGGCAGCCATGGAGAAGCACTGGCCCAGCGTCGCAGACGCGCTCCAAGACAGGGCAAAAGCGGAGAGCCGGACCCTGCTCCTACGCAAAGACTGCACCTCAATGTACTTACTATACATATATTGCATAATACAGACATATATTGCACCAAATAGTATTCGGTGCATTACACAGTATACGTTACGCAGTGTACTTCTCAGAGGACACAGTTTTTATTCACATTTTATTTTCATTCAGGGGAAGACAAGACGCCGGGCTGAGGGCAAAGGAGGAGGCAGGAAAGGGTTCAACAGAAATAACTCCACTTAGTGTTTGAGCGAGCGCGGTAATGAAATCTGTTTGCTGTGCTAGCTGTCTCCACATCGGGCTGTAATTACACCACAGAAGGAAGAGAGGTAGCTGAGTCTCAGCCGAGATCATTTATGTAAACTCAGCCTTCTTGTCAACGCCGGGCTCGGGTTGCACGTGTGCAAACCGCAGAAACCATCTCCTGTGAGCGAGGCAGAGAGGGGCCGGGGCTGCGGGCTGCCCGTTCGCCCTGTGTGCCGGGCCGGGGCCGGGGTCTGCGCTCGCTGCCGCTGCCTCCCGCCGGCACCCAGCCGTTCGCACCGACTCCTGCATGGAAACGTGCTGCAGGCGCAGGCCGTTCCTTCGTGCGCCGCTTGAACCAAGGGAAGGATATTCCCTCCGCCCCACAGAGCTGGAAAATATCCCCTCCTTTGACCTGGAGCAAAGCACGCTTCATACAGGCAGCGCATAAAAACACAGGCCTCCCTTAAACAGAGCCGGATTAATATTTGATTGCACATTTTGAAGCTTCTACTTACCACGCTTGACACATTTTTTTCCCGGCAAGTTTCTGGGCGCCGGGCAGCACCCGGCGTGGAGCAGCTTTGTGTTTGAGCACGTACAAACCAGCAGCGACAGGAGGCACGAGGGAGGGCGCGTGGGACACGGGCCTTTCCCACCGCCCGCTCCGTCCCCTGCGCCCCAGCAGCAGCAGCAGCAGCAGCACGGGGGCAGGGACGCTATTCCCTGGCAGGTCGCGAGCGCTTCCCGGGGCTGGGAAAACCGCAGGCCTCCGCCCTGGCGCCACGGCCGCCGGCGCCCAATCAATACGGGCTGATTTCCTGGCCATTTGCTGAGGGCACAGGAGCGGCGCTCATTAATTATTTCTACCCGCGCGGCCTCCAGCGCGCGTCTGGCACGACGCGTGCGAACGGCTTGACCTTCTTCCTTCTTTTTTCCGTCTTCCTTTCCCTCGCTTCGTTAGTCTTGAGGCTTCCCGGGGACGCCGGTCCGCGCCGTGGCCGTCCTCGCCCGGCACCACGCCGCGCGTCACGAGCGGCCGCTGGCGGCGCCCACGATGTTGGCGAGCGCCGCGCGCGCCTCCGAGGGCGGGAAGCGCTCGAGGGCGGCGAGCGCCCGCGCGCCGTGGTGCCGGCACAGCTCCAGGGCGGCCGGCACGGCCCTGCCGGCCCCGATGGCGTCGCGCAGCTGCGGGAGACACAGGCAGAGCGGCGTCAGCCCTCGCGCGGCCCGGCCGCCGCCGCGCCCGCGCTCCCTCTCCATGAGGTAACGGCCGACGAGGCCGCGGCGCCCGCACGGGGCCGGCCCTCCCGCGCACCCACCCGGCAGCGGGGAGAAAAACCCCCCAAATGAACCCAGAAGCGGGCAGATTCCCGGGCACTTGTCCGGCGGCACCTGCCCGGCTACATCCAGGCAAACTCAGCCTCGCGGTCCGAGCAGGGAATCTGAAAAGGCCTCGGTGATAACACATTGCAAAGGAAGGAAAACATTTCCACAGCATAACAAGTATTTCATGGCAAGCTGCTGGAAAGACTTAGCACGTCAAAAAACTTGGGTAAAGAAGAAGTTCCATCTCCTGTGAAAGAATATGAATATCTAAAATGCCAAAGAAAACAAATATATTTTTTCTATACCTCAGTTCAGTCAACGCTCCTAATAGCAATCATATTTATCACCTTACCACCTGAAGTCACCTTTAATGTGTCCTACCTGGACTTCATGGTTGGGATTCATCATTGCCAGCTTTTAAAAGATGGGTTTTTATTTTTGAGTGCAGATATCTACAGTGAGTAATTATGCAGTGTTTTATAAGCTGCGTTTTCCTGCGGCACACAGCACAACTTGTCCCAAGTCCCTTTACGAGCACATCAGTATAACCTTATCTAGTGGAAATCATGTCAAAAATATCCGAACCATGACAAAATTGTACAAGTCATCCATTTTATATAGACTCTTATGTTTATATAGGATGATTGACACTTCTTATCTGAATACAAGCTGAAGTGGATTCATTATCTGTATTTAAAGATGAAATTAGTTGAAAGCATATTACAGCACTTCAGTGCTCAAGTCCCAATTCATAAAATTTTTATTCCCCACTTCAGTTAGAATCTTCCTGCACTGCTCTTTGGAAAAGAATTTATCCTGAGGCACAAATGCATCGCATAGTTAATTCAACATAACATCTAAAGCTTGGGAATCAGCCACGTAAGCACAGCTGCACAGCAGAGGTGAAGATAGGTGAAATGTGGTAGTCTAGCAGCGTGAAAAAGGGGTTTCTCCCCCATCCTGGAGTCAAAGCTTAGTGAAATTGTGCAATCCCCACATCTTGAAGGGAACTCTGCTGGCTTACTAAAATATTTATCATGACTGATGGTAATAATCACGTAAGTATCTGTTGAGATATTAAAAAAAAAA